TAAAATTCTGAAAACCCTAATCTCTCAAATTACATTACTATCATAATACTTTTCCCCTCTCTTCCCAACTACTCTTCAATCCTAATCCATTCCATTGAATTCCTTAGAGGCAAGAAGAAGGAGGGAAGTCCATAAACGCATAAAACGGAGATTTAGCATATAAAGGACAACATTTAGTTTCCTGGGCACTTAGTTAAATCATTTTTTTTTCTTGTTTAAATAACTTTAATTGATTAATTAGTGTTGTTTGATCACTTTAAACAAACTTTAGTTAATTAATTTTACATAGTATTCTTGCGTTAATTAAAGACTAGAATTGAATAATTAATTGTTGTTTTATCACCTAAGTCAAGGCGAATCTTGTTTATTTATTGTTCTTTTCACGAATTTAATTAAAAAAGAATAACGACATTCGTTGCAATGTAATCTCATAGTGATTAATGCTTGCAAATAAAATCAACTAACTTAGTTTTAGGTATCACGTTGCATATATTGTTTGGTGATGTAATTGTGAAAAAGGAAGAGCTAGTAGAGGCCGCACGGCTAGGATAGCAATTCCCTCCTAAAGGGAACGTTATTTTAGTACCCTCGCTCCCGAACTCATTTCTGGTACAAGTAGACCAATTTGGGAATGGGTAAACTTATGATTCATGCTAAATATCCCTTGAACTCTACTTGGGAGAAAAGCACGAACGAGGTTTTTGAGTTTTCCTAAAACTCATTGGTGACTCCCATTAGTTTCTTAAAAAAAACGTAATGATATCAATTTAAGGTCCCCTAAACAGTCAGGAATTCAAATCCTAACACAACTTCAAAGTATAAATTCCTAGGCTTTTAAAGGGCCATGGACATAGAGGAAAAGGATCCCCAACGACGGGCACACCCTCCTCACACCATCTAAATTAGTGTAGGGAATTTTTCAAACCCAAACTTTGAGCCCCACGGTGATCATGAATTTAAGCATGGTGGCGTCCAAAGGGAAAGAAGCTAGAGATAAAAGAGTCGCCAACAAGTTTTAGAAACTTCTAAACCGCTCACAGGTGTGAAGGTTACACCCCATTCACGATCACGGAGATCGCTAACTCCATAGTGGTCCAGAATCATGACTGGATATTCGGGGATGATGGTACGAATCCAACCTAAAAGAGATTGAACTCGCCCTAAATCGGCCTCTACTTAATTCTTATGATATTCATGTGCGCTTCCCGATCAACATACATACAACAAGTTAGCCCTAAACATGTTTAATCTATATTGGTTGATTATTAGTGCACAAATAAATCTATTATTGGCGATCACTTGAATTAAAATCATATTAAACCTAAAACAAATTATTAATTATCTTATTTGGCGTATTTCAAGTACAAATTTCCTTTAAACTTACAAGAAAAGGGCGTGATCAAGCAATAACAATAAATAATAAATAATCAAGCAATGTAATTATTAATTGACACAACAATCATCATCTTAATAATCAAATCATCATAATATCATCAATAGTATAATTAGCAAGATCTTAGGCATGATACTAAACAATAAAAATCAAAGCTTTAGCCTAAACATGATACTAGGAAGCATGATATTAGGAATATTAATTAACACCCTAAACAAGATACTAGGAAATTAAAATAATATTCTAAGCATGATTTCTATATCAAAAGAATAATTATGTAATCGAATTACTCAGTTTCATGCCTCGTATCTCTTTCTATCAAAACAATACACACGTTAGTAACTTCAAGAAAGATATAAATCAAATAAATAAATCAACTAAGAATTGAAATATAGATTAGGGACCAAGGTCTCAGAATTATCAACCTTTCAAATCGAAGCCGAAGGCAACTACGAGATTGGCTAGGAGTATTCAAAGCTCGTGAAGGAGGTATGGTGAATGATTAGGATGTGTTTAGGCTAGGCTAAGAAAGAAAGAGAGAGAGAGAAAAGCTTTTAGCTTAGAGAGAGGATTAGGTGATGATTGTTGGTGATCAAGCTTGTTGATGATTGAAAACGGGGGAAAACAACCTCTCTTTATAAGAAAAAAGATGGTCAAAAGATCAGAAATCCGACTCGAAGTAAAACTAGCGCTATCGTAACGTGATAGGCTCAAAACGACTCAATATTTTTATCGCGACGCGATATTTCTATCGCTCAGCGATATTTTTCAGAAGATGGAATCCGTACAGAATGCGACTTTCAATCAAATTGGGTTAATCGTATTTCCGTACGTATTATAATTTTATCAGAATTAAATAATTGAAAAACAAGTGTTTTATCCGATATAAAATTCTTAGTCTTTATCTTTTCAAAAACAAGATAGATAAGAACCTTCTAGAGGATTCCAGAAGCCAATAATAAATCCTAATGGATTTAGGACTCAATACAACCAACCTTCTAGAAGAATCTAGAAGCTTGTAATAAATTCAAATGGGTTTAGAAATGAGGTTGAGGTTAATGGCCCCTCCACATGATCATTGGGTCGCAGGTAAGGCTCGGTTTGCGCTTGGTTTAGTATTTTGGTCATCACTTATTTGTTTTAAGTCATATTTGAGCTTATAATATATCGTTGGAAAGATATTTTCAAGCCCCATCCAACTAAATAATAATTGGACCAAAATTGTGGACCAAATTAATCAGGTTTGGACGTTTTTATAAAGTGGACACGAAATGAATGATTTTCAAAGACACGTAATGAATGATTTTGGGTTTAAAGTCACGAAATAAATGATTTTGGCTTAAAACTCTTTAGGAAAGGTTAGAAAGGGTTAAGGCTAAAGGGAAATTCACGAGACTCTTCAACTCTTCACCTAACTCGATAATCAAAGACGTGAAAGGTACTCATCACTGGGTTTGGTTTTTGGGGATACACAATCAGGTGTCTACAATTAGGGAGGCATTTGTTACACCCAAAATTTAAATAATTGACTTTTCTTGACCTTGACCTGTTGACCAAGGGAAATGGACTTCAGAATTATACTGAGGGCCTTGGTCAAACGATGGGAATAGAAATGGGATGGACTTAGTCAGAGGGCCCAAGGAAAGGAGCAAATCGGTTCGGAGACAAACAAGGTATTTTGATTTGAAAAGGAGAGTTAACGCCAAGAAGAATAACCGCACAACAATAAAGCTAGGAATAACCAAGTAAAGCTAGGAGTAAGATGTAACCATAAAGATTACAAGGTAGCAATCACAAAGAAAGCAAATAATCACCAAAATTATGGATAGAAAGAGAAAATCTCATTAGATTCAAAATTAAGCAAAGATTCATCCCAAAAGTAAGCTTAGACCTATTTAAAGACTTTACAAACAAAACCTAAAGTTCTTAAATTGCAACCTTTGGATTACAAATGAAAGGCCAGGATTAAAAGATAGGAAAAAAAGCATACAAGAAATAAGGATGTCCGCTCGAAAACTAGACCTTTGAAGCGGCTGCTCTTAAGGGTAGAAGCGAGCGCTCCGCGATGCTGTAAACTTCAACTGATGGCATTAGGAGCGGGCGCTCCACTTGGGGGGAGCGGACGCTCCTCACTACTACCTGGACAACTCAACTTCAAACGTTCATAAATTCTTCGTTTCTTGCTCAAATTTAGCATATGAGCTATCGTTGGAAAGACCTCAAACTCTACTTTCATCTCCAATTTGAATCACCTAAAAATTCCTTGTAACTAAAAATATATAGTTGATTGAATTTGAGTATTGCATTTTTTTTATCAAGTACAAGTCTTTCTTTTTTCATCCTTGTTTCCATGCTTCACCTTCAACCCCATCACTTGTAAAATCAACACAAGGATTTCTCTTATTAACGTAAACCACATCATAACATAGAGAATTCATGTTGATTGAGCTATAATGCCACTAAACGGATCATATAGCTATATAACCCATATGTTTCAAGTACGCTCCCGCATCAGATTCCCTCTGCATCCTTTCCCAAATTCTCAGCCATTTACCATAACTATCAAATAACACCGACATCAAACTTCAATCACTAACTAACTACAAATTAAATAAAAAAATTGCAGGTAACTCATAGTTCAGCAACAACAGATACAACACTGAATCGTAAAAATGGTGCCACTCAAAATGCACAATTTAGTGACAATTACCCCCCAAACAAAAATTGACACATCCCAACAAAATTAAAGACTATTGCAATTTGCAAATAAAAAATTCATCAATTTTGGGAATACAACAATAACATCCTCAAATAGGATATAATTTGAGCTAACCTCGATGAAAGGAGGCCACCATTACCAACACAACGATGCTCTCTCTCCATAAACACCACCGACGTTTAATTTAACGGAAGAACAAGTGCTTCTAATAACCCCACCCAGGGATCGTTTAAATCATAAAACGCAGATCTAACAAATAATGACAACAACTTCAACAAATTTCCCTTTGAAGAAATTTGGGTTCAAACGCGATAATGAAGAGGGAAGATGAATGCCAAGCTCTAGGGGGATTTAACTGTCATCGTCTTCACCTAGTCTAAAGTAAAACTAACGAAGTGAGCTAACGACTAAATATAAACTTTCCTTACATGGCATATAAAAGGCAATGAGACAAACATATGAATTAATCACCGAGAATAGTCAAGGTGCGCCCGAATTCTTTGTAAAGGTACTGAAAAAAGTACATAAAATATAAGGAAAACATATATACAAAATGAGGACATCATAGACAATGATGCTATCATAACCCTTGTGACTCAACTCGATGTACCTAATTTACGGATTACCAGGTGTAATTGAATTGGGTTATGGGTTGTTATTTCCACGATCCGCCTAAACAGACGCCCAAGATTTTAGATACTCGAAATGCCAACCATCCAATACTAAATACTCCGTAGTATTTTATCCCTAGCTATTCCCATGTACCAAACGCCCTAATATCCGAAGTAATTTATGTGCGCAATTACTAACTATTTTAAAACGACCCCAAGTGGAATAGATATATAGAATATGCCACATTGCTACTTTAAATACTCTACTCGAAGAAAACAAACACCATCCTAATCACAACATTTTTAAAAATCCATTTGCCTTATATTTTTTCCCCGGTGTAAGCCTTCGCATATTCCACCAATCCAATTCTTTTGGTACGACGCATTTTCAGAGGAGAGAGAAAAGTTGACATTACAATGCCGGAATCAACGACCGCCATTGATTATGTAATGGAGAAAGCTTCAGGTCCTCACTTCTCTGGCCTTCGTCTCTCTCCTTCTTCTACTTCTTCACCTCGCGCTTCTGCTTCTGCTTCTGCTTCTGCTTCTTCTCCTTCTGCTTCCTTGTTCGCCGATTCCGATCTTTCTAATCAACCCTTTGTTATCGGTAATTTTGAATTTCATACCCTACTTTTCCTGCTCAATTTCTGCTTGATTTCCTTGTTTCTTGCTCTAATTGTGTATAGAATTTGGTTATTTTGAGAAATTGTTGTGATTGTTTTTGTTGTTGAATGTTGATTATGATTGTGTAGGAGTTTCTGGAGGTACGGCTTCGGGGAAGACGACGGTATGTGATATGATAATTCAACAACTTCATGATCATCGTGTTGTGCTTGTTAATCAGGTAATTAATTAATTTAGGAGTTAATTTGATTCTTGAAAATTAATTGTGAGTAGGGTTTTGTGTAGTTTTTGTATTGCTTAATTTTCTTGATGATTAGTTTTGATACTTGTCGGTGATCAATTATGTTGGTAGGATTCATTTTATCGGGGATTGAATGCTGAGGAATTGCAATGTGTTCATGAGTATAACTTTGATCATCCTGGTAATGACCTCCTTATAACTCGTTTTGTGCTCATTGTGTCGTAACTCATGGGTAGGACGAGTTTTGGAAATAATTTGTTGTTTGGCTATCTTATAAGGCAGTACATTTTTTTATTTTATTTATTTATTTATATTTTTTTTTTATCAAAAGTTTATTGAAGTCATGGTGGTTGTTTTGTAGATGCTTTTGACACCGAGCAGCTTCTTGATTGTGTTGAGAAGCTTCAATCAGGAAAACCTGTGCAAGTTCCGATTTACGATTTCAAGACACATCAGAGACGCACAGATACTTTTAGGCAGGTACATGGATGTTTGTAATTTCGGTTTTAATAATATGCTAAGATTTTGGAAGAAGTTAATGAAGGGATTTAATTTTTAGTCATATAATTATCAATCTTGTTTGGTCGCCATTTTATGTATGTATGGTGGAGATGCTAACTGACCCATAATAGGATTTCCAAAGATGTTTCATAATTTATGATCAGTGTTTGCTCTGCATGTTTCATAAATGACCCATATAATTTTTTTGAAAAATGTCATGATAACTGGAGCAGCAGCATTAAGATTTATTATTAAGTAATGTTTTGGGCTAAGTCAGGTCTAATGTTATTTGAAGGAAGGAAAAACGGGTCAATTTCTTAATTTCTGAGTACTTTTAGTGATTGACTATTGCAAGGTCATGATTTTGAGTTCATTTAACAGTCATGATCATTTGATGAATTTGTGAATTTTTAATTTGCATTTGAGCTAATAACATTGGTAGTTGACACTATTTAGTGTATTTCCTATTGTTAGTTTATTTAGGATACAAATTAATGGGTTTATTTGTGTTAAACTCTCCAAATTTTATCAAATAAGTCTCTTAATTTATTTGGGTAAAAATAAGTAACAATTTCTCCTATTCCAATGCAAATGGAATCATTTTTCTATACTTCAAACCATAGTTATGTAGAATCTGTTTAAATTCATCTCTAATTTTAATTTCCATATATGTATTTTTGATCATTTTTTTGTAATACGTAGCTTGTGATAGTTTAATTAATATATTGTGCATGGGAAACTTGCAAAAAGCAAAATAGACAAATAGAAAATAACAGAGGAGTTTTTTTTTTGGGTAGTAAGTATTATTTAGTCAGGGGTACAACTCTTAAACAATAATGTCCCGACATTTCCCTGATTTTGCCCCTTGATGAACGTCATGTTAACAATCTGACAGGTGAATGCATCTGATGTTATCATCTTGGAAGGTATTTTGGTATTTCATGATTCACGTGTCAGGAACTTAATGAACATGAAGATATTCGTGGATACAGGTGTTTTTTTTTATTTATATATTTATTTATTTTTCCAATATTGGATTCTTTATAGTTGAAACTTATTTACTCTTTGATCCTGAAATAGTTATACCATTCCCTTAAGCTGTAATTTTTTCAGGTAAATTGCTTTTTTGATGATGTCTTTTATTGGTTCCTTTGTGTGAACCATGTGTTTTTCGTGTAGATGCTGATGTGAGGCTTGCACGTAGAATCAGGCGTGACACAGTTGAGAGGGGTAGGGACATAAATTCTGTTCTTGAGCAGGCAAGATGTTTACTTTGATCTTATCATTTCTCAGTATTGGTGGTACATTTTTGGACAATAGAGTTCCCTTCTGGTGAATCCTCTGGTAGGACTGCCCCTGTGAATCCTGTGGGTGGTAATGTTACAATACTGGTGCTGCGAATGCATCCAAGCTACAGGAAATTTATTGGACATATTAATATATCATCATGTAAATGATGCATAAAATTTTTGTTTGGCTTATTCTATTCATTTTTTATTTTCGTTTTCTTGTTATGTTGTAACATTTCGTTTGCTTTTATCATGCTAATAGATGCCCTTTGCTTGCAGTATGCAAAGTTTGTCAAGCCTGCTTTTGATGATTTCGTTCTGCCATCAAAGAAATATGCCGATGTTATCATTCCAAGAGGAGGTGATAATCATGTTGCAATTGATTTAATTGTGCAGCACATTAGCACAAAGCTTGGTCAGCATGATCTGTGCAAAATATATCCCAATGTCTATGTCATTCAATCAACTTTCCAGGTAGACCTTACTTTATTCCTTATTTCATGTCTTTGAATCATTTAGATCAAGTGTCAAGTGTGCTTTATTCACAAATCAAAAATGGCTCTTTGAATCAAATTATCTCAAAGTATATGCAAGGGAAACTTATCCACAGCTTTGACATTTGTCAAATTAAAAATATATATATATATATATATATATATATATATATATATATATATATATATATATATATATATATATGCACACACACATTACAAGTAATAACCTTAATTAAATTTGAAGTCCTAATGTCTAGTTTGTGGAATTCCATGATAGCTAATCATAATTTGAAATCTCAAAGCTTGTGACTAATGCATTTTGTATCTGTATGATGAGTTAGTGATGGTATAACTAGTGTGTATAAGTTTCGGCTGGCTGTATTGTGTTTTATTTCTAATTTTTCCCTTGTCAAGTGTCTGCTACTCCCTTTGTTTCTTTTTTATGTTCTTGTTTGGAATCTTGCAACCACAAGTTAAAGAAACTTTCTTATAAAATCTGTCCAATATATAAGAAAAATCATACGTGTCGGGGTGTTGTTTGATTGTATCAATGAGTGCTTTAAGAATATCAAATTTTTATAATTTCTACTAATATGTAATTAGAGATATTAATGGTTTAAGTCAAATTGAGAACATAAAGAGGGAGTATTAACTGTTCTTTGTTTTTTGGAAATGAAACATTTCATTTTCATGCTTACCAATGGATATCTTTGAACATTAATATCTTCAACTATCAATATATAAAAATTATAAAAAACAAACTTAAAATTTGAAAACAAGACACTACAAGACTGTTTTTTCTTAGGAATAAATCATAAAAATTATTCAATGTGTAGTATGTGAATAGTTTAAATTCTTAGAAAGTATATAATACTCCCACCATCCCACACTATTAGCTACATTTCTATTTGCGTACATCCCAAATTAGTAGCTACTCTTCGTACATAGGACATTAAATATTAATTACTTCCTCGGCTTGTTTTTCAATTGCACCATTTGGGTGGGTTGGGCACGAGATGTAAGAAAAAGTGTAAAAGATGGATTATGTCAAAAGCGCCCATGTGAAATAAACGAATGAGAGATAAAAAGGTGGGGTAATAATGGTTTCTATCGTATGTGAACAAGGATAGGTAGGGAATTATGTGTGTGAACATAACCAAAAAGTGAAAAAAGCATACCATATAGGGAAATGGTGCAATTAATATGCAACTTCCCAAAAAGGAAAATGGAATTTAAAAATAAAAAAAATAAAAAAATAAAACGGAGGAAGTATCTCGTAAAAAATATCTTTTGTAGAAGCACATAACTAATCAACTATTGACTCATAGCATTTTTGCTTTTAAGGTTTATTTCTAAATTATATTAAACTTTAAGCTTGCTTTGCAAAATAAAACCTATATGTGAAATGGAAAACTTTTGCTTGTTTATTTTCAAAATTAAGGGTTTCATTTATTTTTTCAATTTTTACAAAATTTTAAAATATTTTTCTAGTTATAACACTCATGATTCCTAAATCCTGAATTCTTAGTTTTTTTTTTTTTTTTTTTTTTTTTTTTTTTTTTTTTTAAATGTTTATAATTAACATTTTTTTTAGTAAGAATGTTTTTCTTCATTTTTTTCCTTTCAGTCTTTGTGATGTGTAGTCTGCAACAAAATATACCCGAGTGCACTTTACATCAAACTGTGTATTGTAAAAGTTACATAGAGATTTTCTTGTATTGGATTCAATGCAAATTTTTTGTATACTGATTATGCTGAAAAATGTTTCAGATTCGGGGCATGCATACGCTCATTCGAGACCAAGAAATATCAAAGCATGATTTTGTTTTCTATTCAGATCGGCTAATTCGTCTGGTAACCTGCTCTGTGGCTGTCTGTAATATAGATTAACTGTATTCCAAATACTCCTATCGAGTCTTTTACCAACATAAGTATAAATTCATTTAAATATCAGGTAGTGGAGCATGGTCTTGGCCACTTGCCATTCACTGAGAAGCAAGTAATGACTCCTACAGGTGTGTTGCTTAGTACCAACATAAGTATAAATTCGTTTTAAAATTAGTCATAGCTTGAAGGTGTGTAACAAATATTTTTGTAGTTTTCAAGATTTCGCCCCACCCCCTGCTTATTTTTGCTTTCAGACAATCAGGACTTTTTGGTATAAAAGAGTTTTTAATTGAATGTTATCTAAATCACTTGCTGGCAAAACAACCATTCCATTGCAAATCTGGTGGTGGTTTGAGTTAGTTACTAGTGAGGAGCAGCTCATGATGAACAATTTTCTCAAATTTTTATATTATTACATGAAAACTGATGGTATAGTTATGGAGTAAGAACTCTAAAAATCTAAAATGGGGTGCTTGTTGTTAAGTGTTATTTGGTGGAAGACAACGAAAACCAAGTCACCTACAAAGGCTTTCAAGACAATTACTATGTATATTTGATTGTTGGTCAAAATTCTGTTTGGTGCTGCGAAGGTTGAACTAAATTGCACTCTAATTTATTATACCAGTTAGCTTATTTTGCCTTTTTTTTTTCCAGGGTCAGTGTATACTGGAGTGGATTTTTGCAAAAAATTGTGTGGGGTATCTATTGTTAGAAGGTGAGCGTGCTGCAGGAATTTGATAAATGGACATCTGTGGATACATAACCAATGATCTCATAATTGTGTTTATGAGGCATTCTTGTTTTATAATTTTATAGTTTTGCCTGCCTTATCCTTCTTTATGTTTTGAATGAAGTGTGATATAAATATAGCTGAATATAGTGCCAAAGTAGTATTAGTTAATAGTTTCCTGGCATTATCATAACAATGTATTATACGTTTTTATGCCTTATATGGTAGTTAGCTCACTAAAACTCTGCCTGTTGTAATATCTTAACGTTTATCTCATTTTTCTTGCTGATTTGAAGCAATTTTATTGTTGTCAATGTCTAGTCTTTCTTTAGTGCAATGTCTGGTCTTTCTTTAGTGCAATGTATGTCATTGCTTGCATTTCTATTTTTTTTTTCAATTATTTTTTTCTAAATTTATTTCCTCTTTCTCATATTGACTATTTAAGTACTGTAGTGGTGAAAGCATGGAAAATGCATTACGTGCATGTTGCAAGGGAATAAAGATTGGGAAGATACTTATACATCGAGATGGAGACGATGGGCAGCAGGTTTTCATACTTATTTGCTGTTTAATGATCTAGAATTTGTATATCTCTTTCTTCGAGTTATAACTCTAACATCAGCTATATTTTGATTGCACAGCTTATATATGAGAAACTCCCAAAGGATATATCAGAACGGCATGTTTTGCTTTTAGATCCTGTCCTTGCTACAGGTATTATTATATATTGTATATGCTGCTATGTTGCCAAAACTCTATTGATGTCAATTAGCTGTGCATCTTTAGCCGGTGCAACCTAGGATGTCATCCTAGAATTTGCATTTTCATGTGAGAAAATTATGTTGCCAGACACTGCATTTGGTGATATCAACTATTCCTGCTGTGGTTTGGACCACTTTCCAAGTAGAATTAAAGTGTTTATAATTAGCTTAATTGAATCCTTTTTTGAAAGAATAGAAAATTATACTAAATGCAATTTCTCTCGTTGTGACTATATTTTGCATGCAGAAAATGCTTCATTTACGCAGTTCATAAATTGTGTGAAGATGCTATTACCTTTTGCTGTATTCATTGTTATTTGTGATAATGCCTTGATCAAGTCTATATGTTTTACGCTATAGATTACTTTGCTAATCTGTGTTCTAAGGACCTTTTCCCTGGCTCAAATTTCACAGGATGAGTAGTTATATTGACATGTCAGTGAATACTATTGTGTTTTCGCTGAGTCAAAATGTTTATTGTTACCTGTAAGCTCTTGTCGATCATGGCTTTGGTTTGTTGTTCTAACATTAGAACTCACTGATCAATTGAATTTTTGAAGGTAATTCTGCTTGCCAAGCAATTGAGTTGCTTATACAGAAGGGAGTTCCTGAAGCCCATATTATTTTCCTGAACCTCATTTCAGTAAGTTTACTATAACAGCGACTATAACCTTTGGCTCTGGAATTATGCACTAATACTTTACATTTGAATTGGTAAACTGCAGGCACCTGAAGGTGTCCATTGTGTTTGCAAGCGGTACCCATCCTTGAAGATTGTCACTTCAGAGATTGATGTTGCATTGAATGAAGAATATCGTGTCATACCTGGCTTGGGAGAATTTGGGGATCGTTATTTTGGTACTGATGATTAAAGATGCAGGTCTACGGAAGTTTATTAGCTGATACACAATTGCTGATTGAACTCTATTGAGATTTTAGGATATATTTTGATGTACAAATGTGTTTGGATATGCTAGTAAATACTTAAATGGCATTCCGAACGTAACTCTTACCATGTAACCAAATGGTTGATGCTGCCAAATGGTTGATGCTGCTTTCTTATTGAAGTGCTGGGGTTTCTCGTTGATATGAGGTAGCAGTCTAATCAAATTTCTGCTTGTTATTAGAATGAAGAAGATCAACCAACTTAATGAGTGGTAGATGCAGTATACATGAATTATACTGCAAAACGGAAAAAGAAAAATCTTAAGGAACGACTAAGACCCCATCACTGAATACTGATCCCCGGTTGAGCTAGGTTGTGGATTTGCTGGACTTGATCCTGCTCTACTTTGTATAATATGCACGTTATGTATTGCGGACCTCAACTTTGCGTCTAACCATGATGAGTTTACTGTTTGGTTACTATCTCGATAAAACCAATGTAGATGTATAATTGACTAATTGTGTATGAAATTGACCTTGTTAACAAGCTGAGGCTAATTGAGCTAGACCAACGGTTCAACCCCTAACTGTTTGTTTATTATTGTTCCGCCTCTTTTAGAACCCGTTTTCCTTTTTAAGACCCCATCCACTTGTCGCCTTAAATTAGCATATCCACCATGTATTCTACCAATACTAACACGTAAAATATTAGAGGGGGATGTTGTGCAGTAGTTCCATTTGGGTCGGGGAAAGAAGACTAAATATAGTTCCTGCAAAATTCCAGTGTTGTCCTCTAATAACATTGTTAGTCCTTGCAATCCAAGAATCCATAGGGAACCAAAAAAAAAAATGGAAGTCTATTGCCTTTACAATATCTAAGCTGAGTTGAGATAGGAGGCTAGAGCAATTGACTAGTTTTTCGACTTTTATGCCTAAGGCCAAGGGTTGAAACTCAACAACCTCATTTAAGGAGGGATTTTCCTAAATTCCCCCCTCCTAATATGGGCCTTTTTCTTACCATTTTTATTAAAAAAGAGATAAATCTAAGTTGAATAGCCAATATATAAGTAAATTATTTCATATTTTTGCACCTAAATATTCTTACTTGGTTCAATTTGATTTATTCTCAACATTTGTTTTTTTTTTTTTTTTTTTTTTTTTTTTGAGGGAAAGCAGTCATGTCATTAATTTAAGTCCATTTCCGCTAGCTGAAGAATGCTATCCGGAAATGAATCAAAGCAAATACAAGCAGAGTTAATATCCACCTGAGAACGTGCAACAAGGTGGGCAACAGTGTCACCACCTCTTTTAACATGACTACAGAAGAAAAAAGTAAAGGAGGAACTAAGACTAATAATGCGAGATATGAACATGTGCAAGTAGTTGAAGCCCTCTGTCTTCTTTCTCACTTTTTGGATTACACCCAAAGAGTCCCCTTCCAACCATACACGATCATAATTGTATCGTTTTGCTAATTCCGCCCGAAGCAACAAGCAGCAGCCTCAGCTGTGGAAGAGTTCCACCTACCAGACAGCCTCCTGACTCCTGTTTTGACTAATTCTCAGCATTTGTTTGAAGAAACCAATATCATTTACTTTATATGCAAAGCAATAATTCTTAAGAAACTTAACTCTTTTGATGTTGTGCCTAGTAAATTTCTACATAATGCCCAGGGGCGGCTATTGGGCTGTGCAAATAGCCCAACAGCACAGGGCCTCACGTTTGTTGGGGCCCCATAATCTGAAATTTAGTTAACTATATAATTTACTGTATGAGCTTATACCGCATAAGAATAAGTTGGCAGAGTTTGTTCCTCTTATATTTTAATGAAGCCTCTAAATGTCATAGGTTGTCTGTTCAATCCATGTCATCCCCTCCCCCCATTTTAAATTTTCTTTTATATACAATTTTCACATTTTATAAGTATTATTAGTATATGTTATTGCCTAATGTTCTTTCTTATTATTTTTTTTATGTATCCCTTTGTTTGTAATTTTATGTGGATTTAAAATACTGGTACCTACAATATTATTTCTTTATGACCAAAAAATACAAACATATTGGGCATGACTTCATATAAATATATTTTGTAATGGCACAGGGCCCCAAAAGGTTTAAGACGGCCCTGATGATGCCAACATGAATCTTATGAAGAACAAGGGTACACGTGTGTCCCAAGAGCTCAAAGTACTTAGTGGATGCACATACAATTCAAGTGGTGATCATCGATTTGCTCTTCGTCAATAACTAAGGTAACCTCTTAGAGACACCATGGAGGTATGTTTGCATATTTATTTTCTCCAACCTTGACTATGTTTTGAATTTGGACTTAACGTTGCCATGTGTGGGTTTATGTGGGGGTTATGATTCTATGAATGTATAAAAAAAATTTGTAGGATTTTTGTTGTTATATGCCCCATGTGAACATTGGAGAGTTATCCATGCCTAATTTCAATACTAACTTTGAGAACTCTGTCGCCTAATGTGGGGGAAAGTGTAAAATTAATCACTGTTTAACTTAAAGTCTTTTGGCTTATGTACTCTCTTTTGTTTTGCTTTTTAGCAAATGATTCCATGTTCCATGACTTTGTATGTGAGTATTGGATTAATTTCATGTCCCACGCTAATCCTTATCCTTTACTAAAAATTGTTTTTAGTATGTCTGTGCATTCTCGCCATATTTAAGTGACAAGTGATTGGCTATGCATATTGAAGAGGTTATATCTCTTGGTCGCTTTATTCCTGTCTTATGTAATTCTCTAATCTTGTTAATGGTGAACAACTTGATTGTAAGAGGAATAAGAGGCATTAATTATAGATTTCTCTTTTTATTTGATGCAAAGCATCAAAATGACTAATTATGCTAAAGACTATTATGTGTTTGCCTTATTTTTTGCGTGTCTCTATGTTTGTAGAGTATTGCCTTAACTTAGCAAGTTGTCGTGAGTGATCATTTACATACCTTGAAAGAAAACATTGAGAATGAGTTTGTTAATGTCTAATAGCTTACTAGAGTTTTACAACATTTTCTTAAGGATTGCATTTCTTGATAATTCTTCCAAACGGTTTTTCAATTTGAAATAGAGTTTTTAAGAATGTATGTTAAAAGAGTTCGAAATTTGAGGTCCGTCAATGGAGATTTCCAAAGTTTCAATGAACAAAATCAAGCTCAATGCCAACTTCAATGGAGGACATGGTCACCTTATCCTTTAGGGTTGACCATGCCCTCAATTACCTCTTTTCATGGGTTTTTCGCTTTTGTCGGCAGCTTAATGGTGGTGTCGTTGGTGGAGACAAAGAAGATGGTGTTGGAATTAGTAGTTTTAGTGGTGTTGATGGAAGGTGGTTGGAAATCGGGGAAGGAAGGAGGAGGGGGGAAGAAGCTTTAATGGAGGAGGAAGGAGGAAGAACGTTAACGCCTGTTAACATCGCTATTTCACAATTAACGTATAAATACACAGCTACCCTAACAGTTAGAAGGAAGTTACTGGATTTTATTCCAAACTAAGCTTTATTACCAAAGTATTTTGCAAAGTGGACTCGTGGCCAAACTATTTACCAAACTAAGTTTCTGGGGTAAAACGTTGTCTCGGACAACGTTTTTGAAAAAAATGATGTCCTTCCAATAAGTGTATTATTCCGATAGAGGGTTCGGAATTATTAGAAAGCTAATTCTTCAGTAAGGTCAAGTGATCGGAATGCCTAGATGGAGGCCGCTTCCAATCAGTAATATTAATGCATAATTAATATTACGGCTTAATCTTGACTGAACCCTTCGGGTCACACCCCAATCGAATAACCGATCTGAATCGAGGAATCAATTCGAAGGAGTAGATGAGTCATTAGAGTATTACGAACAAAGACATCGGATATCGAGCTTAGGGCGTCGAGACCGAGCGTCGCAAGTCGAGTCGAATTTAATTTAGAATTCGACGAGACGTAAAATCAAGCAAGCAACAAGTTTTGAGCCTAGCCGTAGCCTCGCATTGGCCTAGCCATGCAAGTGCTAGGCTAGGCGAGGTCACCAACCCAAGCGCATCATGGGTGCCTAGCATCCCCTAGCACACGCACATCGCATGGTACAAGCATCGCAGGATGCGTGCATGCGTGTGTGTGGTGTGGTTGTGCATGTGTGGCTAGGCGTGCTAGCATAGCAGCGCTAGCCATCGTATCGTGCTAGGCATGGGCAAGCACAGCCTGCAAGCATGGTGCGTTGCGTGCTTGCTAGCATGCTAGGCCAAGCACCCAGCCATCGCTAGCACCAAGCATCGCACAAGCTAGCAGCGTGCTGCGCATACAAGTGCTAGGCCTTGCGTGCTAGGACATGGCGCCCAGCCCATCGCAGCCTCGCACCAAGCAGTAGCATCGCATAGCAGCGTGCTAGGCATGCTGGGCTATGCGTGCGTGCTTGCATAGCAGCGCCTAGCTGCAGCACAGCAACATCACATGCGTGTTGGCTGGCTGGCGATGTGCTGGCTGGCTTGTTGTGTATGCGTTGCGGGCTGGCTGGCTAGGCTGCCTAGCCTTGGTGCTAGGCGCCAGCTGGCAGCCTTGGCAGCCAAGCGGCGGGATGGTCACAGTTTTGAGTGGGGACCGGTTTCAAGGCCTTGCTTGATGAGCAAGGTTATGCCCCCCCCCCCTGAAATGGTCCTCACCTAATTCTTCCTCTCCCATTGCCACTTGTAGCTTGTTGATTGATTTAGCATTTTATTTTGTTTTTGATTAAAATAAAATAGGGGAAAATGCAAATCTCCCACATTGATTGAGAATGGGAAATCAAGGTTCATTTCCCTATAAATACCCAAGTTTTGGGGATTTGGGAGAACACTTGAGTGGAACTAAAAAGGCATCTCCTTAGTAAAGTGAGAAAACCTTAAGTTCGTAATACTCTAGTTTTTATTGGTCAAGTCCCGACTAACCTTCGGGACTAGGACCGTTCAGGTCGGGTCGAGGGTGCGAGCCGTAGGAGGCCATCGCACTTGCGAGGCTCGGGCTTTGAAGTAAGAGCTCGTGAATCGAGCGAAGCACGCGTCAAGGGTAAGAATGTTTATTCTCTTTCTCTCTTTTATTTTGTTAATTATGTGATTAAATACTTAATTGCTTTAATTAGTGAGCGGGTTTTGGGCGGGTTTCTCTTCTGCGTAGCGTTGGACGCTACGAAACCCAACAGCGGTATCGGAGCCGCGCTCATTTTAATTATCG